AAGAAGAAAAAAACAATTTCCCCCAGCACGAGGCAAGTATTCTCTGCAGTTCCCCAGCTGGAACACAAGAGCAGCCTGGGATGAACTATTTCCACCTAGGAAGCACACTGGGCTTTCATAACAGACCTCTGATTTATCTGTGCTTCTCAGAAGAGTTTTTTCACCTTTTGTGTTCTGTCTCCATACGTGCAGGAAAGATGGGCAAACTACCTGGGAACAAAGTAAGCACATACGAAGACAGTTCCAGCTGTGCTGTCTGTGCAGAGCCCTAAATGTGAGGTAACAGTCTACATCTTATCCCTGTTTCTGTATTACTGGGTTTCTTCTTATGTTTTATATGTGTCATAATTTTGTATACGCTTTTGGGGAGCAAGTAGAGACATCCACACACAATGGTTTTTTACTCAAACCTCCACAGTAGCAACAACAGCATAGTTTAAGAACTCAGTAACATTCTCCCAGTAAAACTTCTCCTAAAATTGCATTGCAGATACGTATTTGCAAACAAGGAATAAAGACACAGAATGTAGTGCTTGCTCCCTGTGCTGTGTTCATGGGTCACTTATGAACTCTGTAGTTCTGTGGATCTGATCAACTCGAATTGCAATATGTTTTTGCAGAGACTGTGGCATTCTGGAATGTATACCAAACGTGTGTCCTTTGAGGCGGCAAACGAAATTTCAGCAGATTTCTGGTGCCTACAGGCAAGTTTTTATGTATTTGTTAACTGTGGTGAAGACTGCTACGTGCTCCAAGTACAAACATTGGGCATTTTTTAAGAGTTTGTGCTTTTGTGTAAAAGGCAACATTTATAAAAACTAAAATTAAGCCGGAGCAGAAATAAAACTTGTAAAGGAACTAAAAGATATTGGATCACACAAAGTCATTTTGAGTTTCTCACATGTCAAGCTTTTCACGTAGACATTTATGCTTAGTTCCAGTTTAAAGCAAACAGATGGCAGACCCCCTAAGTCATAACATCAGATGAGAGAGAGCAAACACACGGGATTCTTTGAAATCACAACAAAAGCCCCTAAATTTGGCATTAGCTCCTCTGGTTAAAATTGCATATATATATTAGCGAGACATGAAAGGTAAATACGAAGATATATGGAGGCTCATTGAGGTAAAACATCTGAAGTAATTCTACAGGTTACATCAGACCCTATCAAATCACTGCCTGCAAATATGAAGGAGGTAAGGTTTCCAGGGATGAAAATATAGAAAGCCAAGACATGAATAAGGTTCTTGCAATTTTTTTTCCCCAGATTTTGTGCTTAATAATTTATTGCTTAACAGCAGGAACAGGAATCTAGAGGAGCCCAATGCTGCCTTCACTGTGCTGTCATTTCTTCTAAAATAAATCATACAATAAAATGAACAACTAATGCAGCTGATACCTCAAATTACATGAAAGCTGTGCTCTTCAAACGTTCCTAAATCTGATTTTCCAAATTATTACAGACTCAGTGGCCCCAGGATATCTGGTGCCTAAGTCCTACTGATTCATACAAGCTTGTAGCTTCTGAATCTCAAGTTAAAGCAGTAGAAGGAAGCTCGGGCTTGCGAGCAGTTGCTGGGATTGCCAGGGTAAACCTCTAATAGCCCTGATAATTACAGTGCCTTGGCAGAACATGTTTTATTCGCTGATAGGTCTAAAGTCTCCAGCTAGTCTTCCTGCCCTTGCAACGATGTCAGAAAAAAAACTAGTACGGCATTTCCACACAAGGCTGATATTACTTGCTGCACAGGCAAATGGGATCCGGCTTCAGCTTGAGATGTCTGACAATAGCTTCCTGTGGTAGTGTGGATGTCACAGAACTGTGATTCCCAGAACAACCTGGTGTTCTTGGGACTGCAAAAGCCCACAGCAAAAGCCACATACCTGCTTTTTTAGGTCACCACGCTGATAGTAATGAAAAAAGTTGCTTAATTCCTTGCTGGCCCTGTACTCACCAATATCCCTGAACACATAGGCCAACATGTTTTCTCCCCTTTAGTTCACCTTGGCTAATCTAGGTAGTTACTGGACTTCTTTGGATTCCTTAAGCTGTGCCTAACTTTCCCCACCTGTTGCAGAACAGCCTGTATTCCTGACTCAAGCATTACCTCTCATCAGACACAAAGCACCATGAGCTAGGTACTGCTATGGAAATACACATTTCAAGATACTTCATTCCTATTAACTGACCAATTTTGAAAATAATGCATTTTAACTCAGGTCCCAACAGCACTTTTCCAGGTGTTCTCCCTGAGGCCTACATTATGTGACAGGGACTTGAAATACGAGGAAAAGATCCCCTCGAAGGAAAGATGAGGCCAACTGGTACATTTTGAAGTTTGTTTTCAGGAAAGTTTCAATGTGTATTCAGTTTTGCTTTATTTGCAGCACTGTACTTATAAATTACCATTGCTCCTTTTTTTTTTTTTGGTCAGACACTCTCTGGAACGGTCTTCCTGAACAAAGTGTGCTGTTGCAGTGTCCTTTTCTTTATTTCACGTTGACTAGCAATTCAAAAGGCGAGCCCCGACCCTTCCATAAGCTGCTCATGTAGAGTTTCTTCTGGAACCAAAGTCAAGCTCATGATCCCAAAATATTGAAATAAATAATAATAAAAAAGGCATATTGCTTCACACAATTTTCTACTTTTCATCTATTTCCTCCCTTGATGTCTCTGCCATCACATTAGACTAAGAGCTTGTCTACTTACGGGCCTTTTCAGTGTAGGCAGACACAGGCAAACCGTGAACAGGATTCCCTAAGTGAGATCCACAGCTCATCAGCAGTCTACAACATGTTGAACACTGCATGGGGGAAACTGCTACCTTTTGAATGCATGTCATGATATGACCAGCAGCAATGTTTACCCACTTAAAACAGTGATGGTCCCTCTGACCAACCTACGGATAGCTGACCAAACCATGGATGTCTGGAGGTCTAAGCAGGAGAAGCAATGCTCACAAAAAAGAAAAAAAAAAAAAAAAAAAAAAAAAAAGGGAAAAAAAAAAGGAAAAAAGATGGGGCAGTAATAGATTGAAAAGTTGTCCAAGCCAGCAGTTCGGTCTAAACAAGAGCAGGATAAAAACTTCCTGCCAAGCTAGCAGACTGCACAGCCTAAAATCAGAGGACCTAGTGACAGATATCCATTAAAAGTATTCACAGATGTAAGGCTTAAAATAAATAATTGCTTTTTTAATGAACAGGATGACAACAACTGTTTCAGAAAACAACTAACCTCCTTTTTGTGTTTTGAATTTTTTTTCCTTAACAAAAATAGCTTCCTAAAAACGAGCCTGTACTAAGAACCTGAAGGTCCAGATCATTTTTGTGCTGTGTAACAACCAAAGTGCAGTATCAAAAAGTTGTCTATAATGGGTATCATTCTGAGGTACCATCCTGTAGTCCAGCATTGCAGGATGATACAAAGACGGTAACTTAGACCTCCTCTTTCAGTTATTCTAATAAAATAAGTGCCTTGGTCAGTGATCCACGTGTGTACGTGATGAAGGGGGATCAGAGAAGGTAGTGAAAATATTAAAAAGCCCATGTCACTAGAGCATCTGTGGAGTTGTGACTGACCCTTCAAGACACCAGCTCTGAACTCTTCTCAAGACATAGCTATCTAAAGCACCTGTCTATAACATTCTTTATACAATCAAGAGAGGTACACTCCATTATACTACAACGACCTTTTTGTTGTGCCTGAAGACAAGGTAGATCTGCTGGCTGTCAATGTACCACTGTTGATGGACGCACTTTCCATAATCTTCATTCAAAATGTTTTCATTATCCATTATGAATTTACTGGTACTCATGAAGACCTAAAACATCATGATGAATCCCTGTTAATCCCTCTTAATGCACTCCAGCTGTCACCTGAATTTCCACAGAATTATACTGGAGTCAGCAATACCACAAACACTGGCATCACGTTGTCACTGCCTCCTTTAGAATCTTTTAAAGTGTCAGACTGCATGTAGTAATCTATTCAAACGGGTATTTTGACATAGAAATCTTGGGCAGCGTGTAGGGGAATGCAGCAGTAACCACACGTGAGCTAACCTGCCCTATCAACACAGCTCCAAAGACATCCCTTGAATGAAATAATGGTTTTCTTTAAAGCTGGTTCCAGCTCTACCAAGTAGGAAACATTAATTTGGGTCAACTCCAGCAACTGTTGCTATTTCTCATCACGTTAGAATGGTGTCAACTAATTCAAATATAGTGCTGAAGTTAATTACCAAAGTCTGATGCTTAAATATGTGTTAATCAGACCGAATCCTGGAGCTGAAGGATCTGATTTCCACGCTCAGCTGTTGCATCAATCACACACTTACACATCTTGCTGCCGTTTGTCTGCCACCTGCCCCTCCGAGTGTGCAAGAACAATAAAAGCTTTCCACAAAAAGCAAGCCAACACTCCGGCACTTGGCATTACCACACGAAAAGAGGCAGCTTCCAGGCACAGGACCGTCCGGGGCCGCACACACGGAGGTGCGGCAGGTCGCGGACAGCGCAGCGCATCCTCGGGGCGCTCCCTCACGCCCGCGGTCCCGGATCGCTGCCCGGGCGGGCGGCGCTGCGGGCACTACGGGAGCCGGGTCCACCCGGTGCCGCCGCGGCCTGCCCTGCCCTGCACTGCCCCAGAGCCTCGGCCGCGGTACCTGCGCTTGAGGCCGCAGAACGGCGCTCCGGCGGCGCCCATCGCACCGCAGCGTTCTTCGTTTCTCTCTCTTTTTTTTTTTTTTTTAACGGGGTGTTTTATCGTTTCCTCTCTCGCTTTCGGATAAGGACCGGAACTCGCTTGGCTCGGCTGTCACCGCGTTTCCCAAAGTCAGCGAAACGACAAAGAACGAGCAAGGGCAAGAGGAAGGCGGCCCGCGCAGCGAGCTAACGGGAAGGCGCCAGGAAAGCCGTCCGTGCCCTCCGCTGCCCCGGCCCTCCTCGCGCCGGCGCTGCCCACACGCACGGACCCGCCCGCGGGCCGGGCCGCACTCACCAGGCGCGGCTGCGGACAGGTGTGCTCCAGCTCCTCCATGGCCCCGGGGCGCCGCTCATCAGAAGGGGCTTTCGGGATACCTGCTTCTGACTCAGCACCGCCGGCGAGCACTGGCATGGCCGGCTCCCGCCGCTCCCCGCTGCCGCCGCCCGGGCCCGCCCGGCGCGGGGCTCCGCCGTCACGCGGGTGCCCGCCCCGCTGGGGGTCTCCCCACGAGCAGCCCGGGGGCACGGCCGCCTCGCGTCGCCATGGCAACCGGGCGGCAGCCGCGCCTCCCTCCCGCCTGGGGGAGCGCCGCGCTCATTTGCATGCGGCCTCCCGGTTGGCTGCCGTCCCGCGGCGCCACTGCGGGACCGTGCCGCTCGGCGGTTCCTCCCGCCTTGCGCCCTGCGGGGGACGAGCACGGCCGGGGGAGGGAGAGGGGGAGCGGGACCGCGCTGCGAGAGGTGCGGTTTATCAATAAATGGAAATAGACACACGTACATATATAGATGTGGGGGTGTTGTTTGTTTTTGTTTGGTTGTTAAAGTAAAGTGAGGTCGCGGAGGCGCTCCTGAGGGCAGAGGCGCGCTGTCCCGTCCGCGGTGCTGAACGGACAGCTCCCGGCGGCCCCTAACGGCCACGCTCGGACCGCCCCCTGCTGCGCAACCCGCCGAGCCGCTGGCGGGGCGCGGGGCTGCCTGGGAGCGCCTGTCCGGGCTGCCGTCGGGTGTGTCTGTGTGCTACGTGTCATCTGTTAGGGATACCGAAAGAAGTCAGGGGACTTGTCGTCGTACCTTTCTGTAAAAACGGTGTGCTTCTGGTTGAGCTTCTCTGGGTAATGCTTTCGTATATTTCTGCTGATCAAAATAAAGTCGTTTTTCAGAGGAAGGAATTAAAGTTCCTCCCAGAAAGGAGGATGAGATTTGGGCTGGCTTCTTCTCCCGGGTAAGTAACAGTGATGGGACAAGAGGTCATGGCTTCAGGCCGTGCCAACAGCTGTTCAAGTGGAATATCAGGAAAAACTTCTCAGAAAGAGTGATGAATTACTGGCACAGGCTGCTCAGGGAGGTGGTGGAGTCATCATCCCTGAACGTGTTCAAGAACTATAGAGTCATAGAATCAGCAAGATTAGAAAAGGCCTCCAAGGTCATCCAGTCCAGCCACTCTCTTACCATCAATATTTCCCCACTGTGTGCCTGTGTACCTCACCTACACAGTTCCTGAACACCTCCAGGGACAGTGGCTCCTTTACCTCCCCAGGCAGCCTGTGCCAGCACCTCACCACTCATTCAGAGAAGAGAGTTTTCCTGATATCCAACTTGAACCCACCCCTCGCACAACCTGAGGTCATTCCCTCTTATCCTATCAATGTTACGTGGCAGACAAGGTCAACCCCCACCTTGATACAACCTCTTTTCAGGTAGGTGTAGAAAATGATAAGGTCTCCCCTGATCTTCCTCTTCTCCAGACTGAACAATCACAGTTCCTTCAACCGCTCCCCATAAGACTTGTGCTCCAGACCCCTCACCAGTTTCACTGCCCTTCTCTGGACGTGTTCCAAGGCCTCCATGTCTTTCCTCTACTGAGGGGCCCAGAACTGAGCACGGCACTAAGGTGTGGCCCCACCAGAGCTGAACACAGAGAGATGATCACTTCCCTGCTCCTGCTGGCATCAGTATTTCTGATAAAAGCCAGGATGCCATTGGCTTTCTTGGCTACTTGAGCACACTGTTGGCTCATAATCAGCCAAGAATCAACCGACACTCCCAGGTCCATTTCCTCCACAGTCTTCCAAACACTCTGCCCCAAGCCTGTAGTGTTGCCTGGGGTTGTTGTGTCTTGAAGGGCAGGACTCAGCTCTTGGCCTCGTTGTACTTCATCCCACTGGCCTCAGCCCAGTGATCCAGCCTGTCCAGATCCCTCTGTAGGGCTTTCCCACCCCCAGGCAGATCAACAATCCTCCTAACTTAGTGTCATCTGCACTTCTGCACAAAGTCCCCTTGTCCAGGTCATCAATTAAGATACTGAACAGGACAGAGTCCAATACTGACCCCTGGGGAACAGCACTCATGACCAGCTGCCATCTGGATTTAACTCCATTCACCACCATTCTCTAGGCCCGGCCATACAGCAACATCTTTACCCATCAAAGAACGCATCTGTGCAAGCTACAGGTGGCCAGCTTCTCTAGGAGAATACTGTGGGAGACATTGTCAAAGGCTTTGCTGAAGTCTAGGTAGACTACATTGACAGCCTTTCCCTCATCTGCCAGGTGAGTCATCCCATCATACAAGGAGATAAGATTTGGTTAAGCAGGACCTGCCTTTCATGAACTCATGCTAGCTGGTCCTGATCCCACACATGCCATGTGATCTTCCTCAAGATGATCCATTCTGTAACCTACCCTGGCACTGAGGTCAGGCTGACACACGTGTAGTTCCCTAAATCCTCCTTATGAATCTTCTCATAGAAACATGTGGTTGTGGTACTGAGGGATGTGGTTGATGATTATAGTGGTGATGAGTTGACAGTTGGACTAGATGATCTTAGAGGTCTTTTCCAATCTCAATGGTTCTGTGATTCTATAATACATTTTCATTTTTCAGCCATAGCAGCTGCACAGCTCAATGGAGCACCTGGTTTATGCCTTTTTAGAACACAAGAGCACTGGCAGAGTAACATGCAGCTTCCTTTCACTTTCTAGAAGTGAGAGGATTGATCTTTTTTCCCCCTCATTTTCTTATAAAAAGCTTTGAAGGAGCATTACACTATTAGGATATTTGGGCAAACAGTGCTAGTACTTGAATAGATGGATCTAGCAGGTTGCCCTTTTGTAAACCCAATGGTGTATGCTGGTTCCCAGGTGATCAGTGGGGTGAGCTACATATCTGCAGTCAGAGCCCAGGCCTCGCTGCCCAAGTGTGTGTTCTGGGTGGAGAAAGAAGGGAACAGATGTTCTTGCAGCAGGCTGATTGCCAGCAAGTTGGAACAGAAAATTCTCTTCATTTGTGCCTGAAAAGGTGAATTTCGTCTCTGATTTCATGCTAGGAGTTTGCTATTGGAGGCCTGACTTTATTTTAATTTGTTTTTCATAATGTTTCTCATAGAATTATAGATTCTTTGAGTTGAAAGGGGCCATGTTTAAAGGCCATCTAGTTCAACTCCTCTTGAAATGAACAGGGTCACCTACAGCTAGATCAGGGTGCTCAGAGCCCTATCCAGCCTGAACGTGAATGTCTTCAGGGACAGGACAACCATCACCTCTCTGTGCAACCAGTGCCTCATTGCCCTTATAGTATCCTTCCACAGAGATGATATTTTTTTCCATATACATGTGGCATCAAAGAAAACTCTCTTGCAGTGGTGTTGTCACATATCTAAGTTGTGCCAGGATTTCAGTTTTATTGCTATTTATTTCCAATTTGGGGAAACTTTTCCAACTTTTTAATAATGCTTTCTTTTTTTTCTGTTTGAAGAACGTGAGTAAGACAATGTTTTGTACCTCATTAATAGGAGAGAACGAATGGCAGAGGCTCTGGAGAGAAGGCAAGGGAAGATTTTGGATTCCCTCATGTCTGTCCAATGAAAATTTGTCATGCCACCTTGACTGTCATGATCTTAGTGTAATGGTTTTATGTTCTTGAACAGCATATCCTAAACTGCCTCTTTTAGCTGCACAGGCAAAATGGGCTTTCAGGTAACTGGAGTCTCTGCTCATTACCATCTAAAATAAATAAATAAGGAATAGATTTGACTGGAAATGCTGAGCCTGTGGTCTTTTGTAAATCGCATCTCATTTCTTGTATGTATGTAAGCAAATATCTCACATCAGGATGAATGTGGTCTCCTGAGGACTCTCCTGCCATTTCTTCAGAAATAACAGGGATACATACCACTACTTTTAATGACTGAGCTCTTGGCAACAGCTGCTTGGGTGTGAATAGACATCTAATGCATGAAAATCCTGTTTCCCAGGTGCATAAATTGATGTTCTATGCAAACAATGCAAGAAACCACGATCCAATCCCCAAGACCTGAACCAAGTAGACAGCAAACAGGGAAAATTCTTAACGGCTCTCCCCTTGAGATGTAATGGAACTTTTTGGATATGAAAGTTCTTTTTACAAACAGGAACGATTAATTCTCCAAGTTTGAAATATACATATTTATATAAATAAATAAATATCTAGTTGTTACATTTAAGTCTCTGCCTGAGCTTCTCCTGCAGCTGAATACTACAAAGACAAGCATCCTGTGGTAGGTTCCTCTGCATTTCCAGGCCACCACAGCTAAATCTCCTCTGCCTTTTTTTTCAATCTAGCCATTAAAATTATTATTATATTTTAGTGAAGCATTCATCAGAGCCCACAACTTTAACTAAATAAAGTTCATTTCCTTGTAGGCATCAGCACCTGTAAAACCTCCATCATGCTTTTGCCTATTATTCATGTTAAACTAGTTCTAGCCCAGTAGCACTGATCATGTAACATGGCTGCAATCTGAACATGGCCACTTCCATTAGGGAGGGTCTTCTTTCTCTGTATTTGATGGATTAAGATAAGAGAGAACGATCATTCCATCATCAAGCCGTTTACATCAAGGTCACGATCGTGCTGTTTAATGCATACTAATTGCATTCTTGCCTCGTGGCAAAATCCCTAAAAGAGAAACCTCTATTTGGCAACTGGGAATAAATGTTTTAAAGAACCCTAAACTGCTTGAGAAGGAAAATGACATGCATTTCACCATTAGTTAACAAAGAATGCTTTATACTGCTTTTAATTCTTCAGCAGAGATGTAACCTGCTATCTTTAGCAGTGTAATGACAGACTTCAAAGCCATTTGCCAGCAGGTAATTTGGCTTAGATGCCCTCAGCTGTCCAGAGCTGTTACTACTACAGAGAAGTCTGAAAATACTAAGCAGATTCTCCAGGCTGGGGACTGCAGTATTAATGAAAGACAGCCATGATTCTAATGTCCTTTGTAAAAACATGGACAGGAATGTATTGCAGACCTTAAGAACATTATCAAACGTTTGAAGTGCCTCAGGGGATCTGAAGCACTAAGTAATACAGCAGAAGCTGTATTTAAAACGATCTGCACATAAGACAGGCTGAAGTAGTCTTCTGATTTAT